CAAACCGGCTAGGACCCAACTTACTTTTATTTAAAAAGAAAAAACAATTAAGAAATAAGTTAAAATCCACTTATGTTTTCACACACACACACACACGCACACACACCCTTTTTATGTTTTTCAAATGAGAGTGTCCCTCTGCCCTCCTGCCCCTCGCCCCCTCCTACTGCGGAAGCCCAAGTGAAGAGTTTGGGCCTGAGCCCCCTGGCTCCTATCCTGTGCTGAGGGAACACGCTACATTCACAACTACACTTTTTTCTTCTTTTTTGTCAAAAATGTCATCCTAACATAAATATGTGTCTGCAACCTGCTCTTCTCACTCAGCCTTGTCCTCTCTACATCTCTTCTGGCTAGTTTATGCAAGTGTGTCGTTTTCAGCAAAGTAATGGTTATTTCTATATTTTTTGCTAATTTCCTTTGTCAATTGTTCTCTCAAACCATTTTTTCCTTATTAATATGTGGGAGTTCTCCCCATGTGAGAAGTGTAAGCTATAGACTGAGATATGACCTCTAAGTCTTTCCTTAAAAGGGCTGGGGCGGGGGGGGGGGGGGGGGCGCAGGCAGGAGGATTGGAGCAAGGTGCAGAAGGAGGGGTTCCTCCCAGCCGGCTGCAGAATGGGGTTTGGTGGTCCTTAGCCCCCGGGTCTTCAGAGCCAGGATGGGGCCTGAGGCTGTGGAGAGAACCGGAAAAAGAGTGCAGAATAGTAGGAAGGGAAAACGGAATGAAGTGGGGAAAGGGTCCAGGAGGAACAAAATGATAAGAGCAGGCACAGAGGGCAGAGCCCAGGGGAGCATTGCTGAGGCTGGTCTGAGCTGCTTTCTTCTCTCTCCAAGTCTGTTTAACCATCCATTCCTCCAGGACACACAGGGCGTCATGAGTGAAGGTCCCAGGGGCGGGATGGGGGCAGAGAGGTGGACTGAAGGAAACCCACCCAACCCACCCTCAAGGCTAAGTCTTCCTCCAAGCGCCTAAGAAAGGGCACGTCAGTGTTTTCTCACTCCCTTTCTCTTCACCCAGTTCTTGTGTTTAACCTCATCAGGAGCTCCCTCCCACCCACTAGACCAAGGGGCTATCATTTGTCACTAGTAAGGGGACTGCACCAGCGGAATTTCTGCCCCTTCTCATTGCTTCTCCAGAATCCCTCCCTTCCCCATCCTGCAGAGTCTGGCGGGCTTCTTCACACCTACCCCCACCCACCTATGTTCTAAAGCCACAGAGGCCCTCACTCCCCCTACAAGCCATGGATGGGGGGCGCACTACCCTTACCCTACTCTACCTAATACTCATCCTCCAATCTCACTTCCTCAGGGAAGCCCACCATGACCCTCAGACTAACCCGAATATCCCGGAATGTCTCACCCACTCCCTTCAGACTTCCTTAGGGCTTGGTAAGGTTTGAGACTGTCTGTACTTGTGTGGTGGTCTGATGGCTGTCTATGTCCCTGGCTAGGCTGAAAGCTCAGCTCTTGTTAAGCAGCAACTTGACCAAGTCAACCACTATTGACCTAGGGAGTCTTGTGTCAGGCACAATTCGGGGGACAGGTGGGGGTGTTGTCATGGGGAACCGGGGCCGTCGGGTCAGCCATGGAGCAAGACAGTCATGGAACCATGCTCCTCAGTATCTGTCTCTCCCCGGCTGGTGGTCGATGACAATGATTTTTTTTTGGGGGTGGGGGCTGGAAGAATCAAGATTAAAGGGAAGCAGGAAGGATTTCAGGCAGGAATTCTTTTTTAAAAAAATATATTTTATTGATTTTTTACAGAGAGGAAGGGAGATAGAAACATCGATGAGAGAGAGTCATCGATCAGCTGCCTCTTGCTGGGGATGTGCCCACAACCAAGGTACATGCCCTTACCGGAATCGAACCTGGGACCCATCAGTCCCCAAGTCAGGCGGGAATTCTTGACAACATGTGAGCAACGACCTCTCTGTGCACCTGTCTGTCCCTTTCTGTCCGGGACTAGGCAGGCCTTCCTTCCGCACTCAATGGCCCATTCATCACCGATTCTGTACACGCCCAGCGTGGACCGAGCCTGGGTCCAGGGCGGGTCCTCAAGTGAGAGCGACCTGGGGCTGAGGAAGCTCAGAGACCCAAAGGGTGTCATGAGCTCACGTAATCGAAGAGCCAGCATTGACCCACCGCTCTGCAAACCGTCCCCCACCAGCTGGGAAGCGATAATGCTCCTTCTGGGGGAGCTGGATGCAGCGGCTCAGAAGCAGCGCATCCTGCGAGGCAGAAAAGTCCTGTCCCAGGACCCTGGGCGCCTCGGCAAACTGGGAGCAAGGAACAATGCCCCCGCGGCTCCAGCCAGACGGAGCCTCGGCGCGGGGCGCCCCCTGTCGTGCCGGCCGAGCAGCGCAGCCCGGCTCCGATCCGGCCAATGAGCAAGGCGTCGGCGGGCGTGCCCCTGGCGCCCCAGGCATAAAGGCCGCCCGCACCCGCCGCCCGCCACCCTTCTGTCCTCACACAGACTCAGAAGAAGCCACCATGGTGCTGTCTGCCGCTGACAAGAGCAACGTCAAGGCCGCCTGGGCCAAGGTTGGCGGCAGCGCTGGCGATTATGGCGCTGAGGCCCTGGAGAGGTGAGGCCCTCCTCTGCCTGCTTCCACCGCCACCCCGACCCGCACCCCGCACCCCGCACCCCGCACCCCAGGCTCTCAGGGTCCAGCAGCGCCTCCACCCGAACCCCAGGCCCAGGCCCCTGCCCTGCACCCCCCTCCCCTCCCACCCGCCGCCGCTCTCACCCTCCTCTCCCCGCAGGATGTTCCTGAGCTTCCCCACCACCAAGACCTACTTCCCCCACTTCGACATGTCCCACGGCTCTGCCCAGGTCAAAGGCCACGGCAAGAAGGTGGCCGACGCCCTGACCAACGCCGTGGGCCACATGGATGACCTGCCCGGCGCCCTGTCCGCCCTGAGCGACCTGCACGCCCACAAGCTGCGTGTGGACCCCGTCAACTTCAAGGTGAGAGACCTGGCCGCGCGCTCCCCTGGGCGCCAGGAGGCGGCCTCGCCCTGGCGCCCCCTCATCCCGCCTCTCCCCACAGCTCCTGAGCCACTGCCTGCTGGTGACCCTGGCTTGCCACCACCCCAGCGACTTCACCCCGGCCGTGCACGCCTCCCTGGACAAGTTCCTGGCCACCGTGAGCACCGTGCTGGTCTCCAAGTACCGTTAAGCTGGAGCCGCGGCCACCCCACCCCGGGGCGGGGCCCCTGGGCGCCCCTCCACCCGCACATCCTGATCTTTGAATAAAGTCTGAGTGGACTGCAGCCTGTGTGGCCTTGTTCTGTGTGCCCGACCGTGCATTGGGGATGGGGGTTCTCCTTGCTTGAGACCGGACGGGGGGCCTCTCCGCAGCAGGCGAAGGGAGGGAAGGGGAGGGAGGGAATGGAGCCTGTCCTGCTGTCACTTCCTGGGATCCACTGAGCAACCCTCCACTCTCACCCTGGAGTGTTTTCCCGCATTTCTTTCCGGAGCTTTCGCTATTCAACAGGACTTGACAGGATTCGTTTTCCATTCTTACGTCTGCAGCGTTTACATTCAGAATGGGTGGGTCTCCAGCCCAGGGCCTCTGAGCTCTCCTGTGGCTCCTCGCAGAGCTGGACAGGGGGAAGTCACACTCTCTCAGGGACTAACTGGGCGCTCCTCCGTCACATGCCTCCCACATACAGCCACATCTGGATGACACTGGGTCTGAGCAGGGCGGTTGCAGACGGCAGGCAATTTCCGGCAGGCACCCTTTCCTCCTGGGTCCACCCCCAGGGTGCTCACTCTATATTTACTGATGTCCCGGAACCCTCATGGGCCTGGGGGCCCAGTGCTGGGGCCCAGCTGGGCATCCACGGCAGGCTGGCCCCTCTGACTCCCCCAGTGCTGCGGGGAGAGGAGAACGAGGGCCAAGGAGCCTGCGCTCCCATGTGTGTCCTCCCCACGGAGCAGGCCTCTAACTGCAGCCTCAGAGGGAGGGCCTGAAGGTCTGGTCCTGGCTGCTGTCCAGTCCCAAGCTTCCAACGGAAAGCAGTGCCCTTACTTCCCTGGGTTCCAGAGTGGTCCTTGGGGTGGGGGGAGGATGAAAAATAGTGGTCTTTGAAAAATAAGATAGCAGGTCTCCTGCCTCAGTGTGTGATGTGTTTAGCACAGTCTGAGTTCTCGGAAAGAGGCAGTCTTCCTTATTTTATTATGAGGAAAAATATGAAGGAGCAACCCAAACATTCATCAACAAATAGCCCAACAAAGGGTGATACAACAAAATGTTGTTCGTTGATAAAAAGGAAAGGCGTATAGATACATAATACAAGGTGAGTAAACCTTGAAAATGTGCTAAGTGAAAGAAGCCAGACACCAAAGACCATGTACTGCATGACGCTATTGATACGACATACCCAGAACAGGCAAACCCACCGGGACAGAGCGCAGGTTGGTAGTTGGCAGGGGCAAGAGCAGGAAGGTTATGGGATGACTGCGAATGAATACAGAGTTTCTATTTGGGATGATGAAAAAGTTCTGGAATGGGATAATAGTAATGGTTGCACAACAGTGTAGATGTAATTAAGGACACCAAGTTGTCTACTTTAAAATGACTAAGATGATAAATTTTGTGTTACATGAATTTTACCACCTCCACCACCACAACTACAAAGAGTGGTGCCACATGGGCATTAGCTATTATTACCATACACCTTAGACAATTAATAAATGTTCACTGTCCCAAAAGGGATATCTGCTTCATTTATATGAAGCATTTACCATTTATATGAAGCATTTACCATTTCTTATCTATTTAACCCACACAAGCACCTTGGGAAGAGGTTATAGTCACTCTATACAATAAATGATAAAAAAAAATAGACTGAGGGAGGTGTCAGCATAGACTTGGAAGGTAGAATAAGCTGACATGCAATGCTAAACAGTTGTGTTACCTGATAATAATATGTATTAACTACGTATTAGTTCCCATACAAAAACACTACAAACACGGGCCCTCAGGGTCCAGAGAGACTGGAAAGGTTCCAGGCCAGCGCAGAATTGGATGCTACCCGGTCCCTCTGGACCAGACTGTGGCGTGGCGCCCCCTGGAGGCCACGGGGACCTGCTGGCCGTTTGGCGCAGGCGCAGCTGTGGCCTCAGCGCGCTCCGCGGGCCCGCGGCTACAGGATGGCGCTGGCGGCGGCGGACCAGGCTGCGGTGCGCGCTCTTTGGAGGAAACTGAACAACAACGTGGGCGTCTACACGACGGAGGCCTTGGAGAGGTGCGGACAGGCCCCAGCGCCCTCTGGGCCCATCTGCCCTCCCGCTCGCCCCGGGGATGGGTCCCTGCCCTCCCGCTGCCCTCCTCCCCAAGCCCCGACGCCAGGGGCGCATCTCATGCCCATCCCTCCCACAGGACCTTCCTGGCCTTCCCCTCCACCAAGACGTACTTCGCCCACCTGGACCTGCGCCCCGGCTCCGCCCAGGTCAAGGCGCACGGCCAGAAGGTGGCGGACGCGCTGAGCCTGGCCGTGGCCCACCTGGACGACCTGCCCCGCGCCCTGGCGCCGCTGAGCGACCTGCACGCGCACCAGCTGCGCGTGAACCCGGCCAACTTCGAGGTGAGCCGGTGCGGTGGGGGCCGGGCCCTCCTGCCAGGAGGGGTAGGGGTTCCCAGGGAAGGATGTGGGGGGACCGGTGGGCCACGGTGGGGGTGACTCCGTCCCTCCGCAGCTCCTGGGCCACTGCCTGCTCGTGACCCTCGCCCGCCACTACCCCGGAGACCTCAGCCCCTCCCTGCAGGCCTCGCTGGACAGGTTCCTGCGCCACGTGACTTCGGCGCTGGCCTCCAGCTACCGCTGAACGAGGGGTGGGTGACGGCGGCTACCCCCCTCCCCCCCAGCCCCGGCGTTCTCTTCCTGCGACGACTGTTCAGAGTTTGAGTAAAGTCCCCGAGAGAAAGCCTCCCCCCGCGTGCGCTCGTGTGTTCTCCGGGGGCGCGCGCCGGGGTCCTGATGGGGTTTGGGGAGGCGCTGCCTGCCCTCCCAGCGGAGGAAAGTGGGGATTTGAAGAGGCTGCGCTGCACACCCATCCAGCCGTGCTCAGATCGGGGCGCCCCTGGGCCGCGTTCTCTGGACGCCCTCGGGGGCTGAGGGGGAGGTTCAGGTCATCCCACCCTCGGCGGCCTGAGACGCTTCGTACATCGGGTCCCAAATGCCGTATTGTAAACCTCCACCCGCCAAGCCCTTGGCCGCAGCCACTCGGAAAACAGGCCAAAGGCTTCGGCCCCTCGGGAGTACGTTGCGGGCCATGGGCTCGCCCTAGCTGACCGGGCCCGGCCCCTCCCCAGAGCTACTCGCTACGGGGCGCTCCACACAAATCTAGGTACGCGGGACCTCGTCCCTCACTCACCTACAACTGAGGGCGCGGTGGGGGCTAGCGGGGCACGGCCCCAGAGAAAATTAGGGAATGGCGCCCTCTGCTGGTGCGGACAGGACTTACACAGAACGCAACTTGCACAACAGTATACAGAGGCTCTAAAAAGGGTTTTGGGGATTTGGGGATCTAGGAGGCTTGGGGTGAAGCCCCCATTTGCCAGATTCTGCACCTGGTGCCCCAGCACCCAGTAACTTAGGGGGACCAGAGTCTTTCCTAGATCCACAATTGTAAGGAGACAGAGATCAGAACTGCTTTCTTTAAAAAATTTTTTCTCATTAAATCAACCATGGTCACTGTAGAAACTTAAGACAATGCAGTAACTACTCTACTTACTGTACATTCTTATATATCCTAGTGGGTTGAGAACATCTATTATTCCTTTAATTCCCACTTGACACTGGGAAAACTATGTGTGGACAAATGGAGGACATGGAGTCAGATACCAGGGCATACTTGTGACACACACATATTGACAGACCACACACAAACAGATATAAACACACAATGGCAGAACAGCCCCATCCAGAAATGTAACTAATATTTAATATATAGTTTTAGGGACATTTAGAGATTTTGGGGGGGGGGAATGTTTGTTTGTTTGTTTTTAAATATATTTTATTGATTTTTTTTTTTACAGAGAGGAAGGGAGAGGGATAATCAGAAACATTGATCAGCTGCCTCCTGCACATCCCCCACCAGGGATGTGCCCGCAACCAAGGCACATGCCCCTGACCGGAATTGAACCTGAGACCTTTCTGTCCACAGGCTGATGCTCTATCCACTGAGCCAAACCGGTTTTGGCAAGATTTTTATTTTTATTTACTTATTTTTTAAAATATATTTTATTGATTTTGTACAGAGAGGAAGGGAGAGAGATAGAGTTAGAAACATCGATGAGAGAGAGTCATCGATCAGCTGCCTCTTGCACACCCCCTACTGGGGATATGCCCGCAACCAAGGTACATGCCCTTGACCGGAATCGAACCCGGGACCTTTCAGTCCCCAAGCCGACGCTCTATCCATTGAGCCAAACCGGTTTTGGCGCAAGATTTTTTTTTTAAAGAAATAATATCCTCGCAGTGACAATGGAAAAACTGGGCACACTGGATTATAAAAATAGAAAAATACTTGATATGGAGAGAGAAAAATAAAGTTAAAAGACAAACTGGAAGAAAAATATTTGCTACAAACAGCAGAAAAAAGGTTATTACCACATCAATAATGAGAGAAAATTGTTGATCGGCTGCCTCCTGCATGTCCTTACTAGGGATCAAGACCACAACTCAGGCATGTGCCCTGACCAGGAATTGAACCGTGACCTCCTGGTTCACAGGTTGATGCTCAACCACTGAGCCATGCCAGCTGGGCCCCACCCCCCACCCATTTTACATATACACATACAACACATGGAACATTGAAAATGGGATCATATTACAAACACTTTTCTGCCTCAAAGAAACTCTTCTAAGTCACCTGGAATAGCTCTAATTCAGTCTTGTTGGTAATCCTCACCTAAGGATATTTTTCCATTGATTTTTAGAGTGGAAGGAAGAGGAGAGAGAAATACTGATGTGATAGAGACACATCAATTGGTTGCCTGCTGCACGTACCCCAACCACGGCCTGCAACCAAAGTGTGTGCCTTTGACCGGAATCATAATTCATTGTCTTTTAATGGTCACATAATATTCCATTGGTGTGACTAAGTCATATTTTTCAAACCATTCCACTTTTATGGGTTGTAATTTAATGTATCACATATTTGTTCTCATCCCCCTATTCCAATCCCCACCCCTTCCACGCATGCCCCCACACCCTGTTGTCCTTGACCACTGGTTAGGCTCATATGTATGCACACAAGTTCTTTGGTTGATCTCTCCCCTTTGTCCCCACCTCCCCCTACACTCCCTCTGAGGTCCAACAGTCTGATCCATGAGGGTCTGTTTTGGTTCTTCAGTCTATGTTGTTCATCATTTCCCCTAGATGAGTGAGATCATATCCTACTGGAAATGAAAAATAAACTTTAGAAATGAAGAATAGCTGAAGCCCGTTTGGCTCAGTGGATATAGCGTCGGTCTGCAGACTGCAAGGTCCCAGGTTCAATTCCGGTCAAGGGCATGTACATTGGTTGCGGGCACATCCCCAGTAGGGGGTGTGCAGGAGGCAGCTGGTCGAAGTTTCTCATCAATGTTTCTGGCTCTCTATTCCTCTCCCTTCCTCTCTGTAAAAAAATCAATAAAATATTTTTTTTAAAAGAAAGAAAGAAATGAAGAATATAGCCATCAAAAAGTAAAATGCGCTGAGACTGGTTTGGCTCAGTGGATACAGTGTTGGCCTGTGGACTGAAGGGTCCCAGGTTCGATTCCGGTCAGGGGCACGTACTCTGGTTCCGGGTACAACCCCAGTGAGGGGTGTGCAGGAGGCAGCTGATCAATGTTTCTCTCTCATTGATGTTTTTAGCTTTCTATCCTTCTCTCTTCCTCTCTGTAAAAAATCAATAAATTATATATATATATACATATATATAGATATATATGTATGTGTGTGTGTATATATATATGTATGTGTGTATATATATATATAGTAAAGCGAAATGGTTAGCTAGCCCCAGTGGTTGGGCATTGACCTATAAACCAGGAGGTCAGGGTTCAGTTCCTGGTCAGAGCACATGCCCAAATTGCTGGGGATTTTTTTGTTTTTTAAAAAAACGTCAGAATAAATTATCTAGACTGCAGCCCCTGCACATCTTTCAATTTTGTGTTCCTGGTGCCTTACTTGCTTCACCCAATTCTGACTCTACTACAGAATGTACTTGTGGCAGAAAGAAAGTGACCCAGAGAGAAGACTGGGATTAACAAAGAAAGTGGTAAACACATTGTGCTCTCTTCAGTAGGGAGAGGCTGGGCCTGACTGGAGGGGGCAGATTGGTTGTAAGTCACAGAAAAATGCTGGGCCTTTGGGGGACATGGGGGTGGGGTGTGGGGGAGCGTTGCATGAGTGTCCCAAAGGAGAGACTTGAGGCCTCAGGAGGCCCAGGAAAATATAATACTGTTGTATTATACAGTATTATTATATATACAATACTGTATTCTACATTTGAAAGTTGCTGACAGTAGTTTAAAAATTCTGACCATAAGGAAAAAAAATTGTGACTGTTGTGATGGATGTTAACTAGGCTTATTGTGGCAACCATTTAGCAATATATTATACAAGTGTCAAGTCATTATGTTGTACACCTGAAACTAATACAGTTATCTATTGATGATATCTCAAAAACAAAAGGTGGCCCCGGTCATGGTGGGAGAAATCCCCTTACCACTGCTCTGCTCCTGGATGGCACAGCACGGTGCCCCTTGCACAGCCTCCCTGGGAGGGCAGCCCCACGGGTGCTCAGTGTGGAAGTCAGGCAGGCAGGGTGACATGGGCAAAAGGACAAAGGCAGGAGGGGAGCTGGCAGATGCAGGAAAGAGGGAAGAGCAACCTGTTTTAGCAAGTCCTCTAATAACTCAGACACTATCAAGTCTGAGAGCCATTCCATCTCCACATCCCAAACCCCATTGTGGCCTCCATCCTCTTCCCGGGGAAGGCACTTCCCCCGCATATCCCTCCCCCACTTGCCTGAATTATGCAGGCACCACCTCCTCTAGGAAGCCCCCCCAGATCCCAGACCCAGGCAAGTGCACCAGCTCCTGAGCAGCCTGCCCCCGAGAGAGGATACCCACATTTCCACGTGATGCAGAGGGTCCAGGACCTGCTGGTGAAACCCAGGGTGGGTGCCACCCAAGGCTAGGCTCTCCTCTGCTCTGGGTCCCATGAGCTCCCGTGCAGCCTTCAGAGCCGGCAGTTTCTCCAGCCCTTCCCTCCACCGACAGGAAGCAAGGTACAGGCAGGAGTCCCTAAGAATGCGGAACTAGGGTAAACGAAAGGGGCCTGGAACCTATCACCACTGTTGGCTTTGCCCATCCAGTTCTCAGGGATTGCAATGGCCCGGACCTGCATCCCTGCTTCTCCTCTGTACACAGTATTTCCCACATTGTTTTATCTTTTAAGGGGGCTCAAGGTGGAGTGGGTCCCTCTGGGCCAAGCCCCCTCATGGTACGTGGGTGGCCTCCTTTTGGCACCCCCCGTGCCATGCCCCTGGAGCTCCCACCTGGGAACTCCCCTCTGCTGAGACCCCAGGTGAGGATGAGGTTGTAGCATCCTCAGAGCAGCCTGGGCCATGTTGTGCATTGCCCCCATCAGTTTGACCTCCACTGTGCCCACCCAGAGGGCAAGTTCGCTCTCCTGGCACCCAGGAGATTGGCGAGCGCTTGGAACCCATGAGACTCAAGGGCTTGGGTGCGCCAGGGGCAGGTAGGTGGGTACCTTCAGCACTAGGGTTGAAAGAGCTGGGCACAGAGTCTGGACCCCATCCTCCCAGCACAAGCTCAGACCACAGGTCCTGGATTAACTAGAGAAAGGCCAGATGTGCAGGGAGGGGCTGTAGCCCTCCAGGCCTTTTTAAAAAATACATATTTTATTGATTTTTTACAGAGAGGAAGGGAAAGAGATAGAGAGCTAGAAACATCGATGAGAGAAACATCGATCAGCTGCCTCCTGTGCACCTCCCACAGGGGATATGCCCACAACCAAGGTACATGTCCCTGACTGGAATCGAAACCGGGATCTTTCGGTCCACAGGCCGACGCTCTAGCCACAGAGCCAAACCTTTCGGCCTTCCAGGGCTTTCTAACAGCTGTCTTGACCTCGGCCCCACCTGCCTTCTGGCTGGGACCCAGGCCTACTCCTAAATCCAGGGACATCTGCCTTTTCAAAACCACCACCCCTCCATGCACGACACATGACCATACTTAATGCTCTTCAGATGTAATTACAAATGGTTACAATAGTAAATTTTACATATATCTTACTATAATAAAAAGAAACCCTGCCCTAGCCAGTGTGGTTCAGTAGCTAGTGTCAGCCAGCACACTGGAGGGTCAAAGATTTGATTCCTGGTCAAGGATTGCAGGTCTAATCCCTACCTCCAGTTGGGGTGCCTGTGAGAGGCAACCAATCAATGTCTCACATAGATGTTTCTCCTCCCCTCCCCACCCCCAACCCTTCCACTCTCTCTAGAAATCAATGGGGGAAAAATATCCTCACTCCTTGGATGAGGATTAAAAGAAATAAAGAGAGTCCTAACTGGTTTGGTTCAGCCTGTGGACTGAAGGGTCCTGGGTTTGATTTCAGTCAAGGGCACATGTTTGGGTTGCAGGCTGGCTCCCCAGTATGGGGTGTGCAGGTGGCAGCCCATCAATGATTCTCATCACTGATGTTTCTAACTCTCCCTCTCCCTTTCTCTCTGAAATCAACAAAAATATATTAAGAAAAATAAAAATAAAAAACACCCTACCTGTATACCCCCTATTCACCCAGTTGCCTGAGCTGGGATATCTTCTGCCAGCTTCAGTCTAGCCTCTGCCAAGCTAGGCTATGCAACTGAGACAGAACCCATTATCCAGTTCCTTTTCCCTCTAACTCTTCCCTCCCAGAACCACCCTCAACCCACTCAAGGCTTCCCACCACTGGTGTCCACTTCCCAAACCCAAGCGGGCATGCCTCTACCCAGCTAGCTTGGTGTCCACCCAAGCAGAGAGCTCCGGTGACGCTTTGTTCCGGTCCAGCTTAAGCTGCAGAAGGGGCAGTGTGGCTTGGGTGGAGGGACACCCTATGACAATGCACTGCTTTCCCCGCCAGGGGAAACCGGTCACAAGCCAGCAGAGCAAGTGCATTACCTGCATGTCCTCCCAGAAGGGGACTCACTGCAGCAGGGAGCCCAGAGCAGGACCACCAGCCACATTACGGTGCTGGTAGTCACATGATCCAGACCCAGTGCCCGGTGCTCATTGAGTCAACCAGCCTTTGCATAGAAGGGGTGGGGACTGTTTTCATAATCCGCCATCAGAAGCTCCTTCCAAAAATAACCCAAAAACCTCCCTGAAGTGAAAAAGGGAACGACTCCCCGTTATCCTTTCGGAAGGGCTCATTCTAGCGTGGAGATGTGAAGAGCTGAGAGAGGATACCACCACTGGCCCTCTTGAGTGTGAGTCAAAGCACAGCCTGATCCTCCTCGGGGGAGCCCGTGGCTGTTATGTGGATATTTTGGACACTGCAGTGTAGCTCCCCTGAGCTAGTGCCAGGTCAAAGCTATGTGAAGAACAGGCTAGTCAGGTCTAAATTCCTAAAATGTGGGCAGATGGGGTGCCTACCTCCTTCCTAGTGGAGCCCGTGGTCTGCACTGAGGGGTGGAGCCAGGCATATCTACAGTAGATCCGGTCATTAGGGCAAGGGGAGGTGGGGGTGTCAGATGGCCAAAATCAAAGGGGAGTCCCAACAGGAAGTCATAATTTCTGAAGATGAGCAAAGCTCACTGAGACAATGCTCACTGACACCACATGTGAAGGCCGAGGTGCCGCGCCTAGAACATACAGGAATGGCAGAGACTCCATTGCAGCAGTCAGGAGGCAGTCAGTCAGATTTATTTATTCCTACTCAACATAACCCCGGAACACAGGAGTAATTCTGTACATCTCTAGAAACTCACAGCTAGCTCCAAAACAATAGAAACTTTAAACTACAAAAGATGTGCTGTATTCGGCAAATATAAAGGGTAACCTCAGGCTGTCACACACTCATCAGACCATTCACAGCGCCAGGCATGGGCTCAGACCTCTCCAGCCTCCTTCTCCTCCGACGTCTTCCCACTGGAGCCTTCAAGCCTCCAGTCAGTGGCCCCACGCTCACTCCGACCTCGCTCCCAGGACTCCTCCCTCGATGCCCGCTCTCTGGAGAACCTGGGGGATGGGAACCAGAGGGTCAGCAGAGGCTGTAGTCTCCCTTCGGACTGTCTCCTCAGATGCCCCTCAACACCAGGCCACGGAAGGCCAACACCCACCCCACCAAGGCTCCCTAGCACCAGAGAGCAGACAGGCCTGCCATCTCATGCCCAGCCCATAACCCAAAAAAGTGACATTTGAAAATATTTCTTATATAAACAGAGCAGCTATAATATAAACAAAACAAAGGAAAATGCAGTAAAAGGTTCACATGCAGAATATGACCCATTATGTAAACAAAAGAAAAAAAGACTAAATGCAAGCATACCAAAATATTAATTGTGGTGTATTTACTTTAGAAAAGCCGCACAGAGAGGAGCAGGGCACAATCAGGGGCTCTATGCATCAAAGTGACGGTGAGTTGGCAGCCTGTGTGTCAGACACCTCGTGAAGCTGTGCTCCTGTGACCACCCACAGCCTCTCCACTGTCCCAGCCCTGAGTCCATCCGCTGCTCTCAGCTCAGGACTCTCAGGGCTCTGAGTTCCATTTGCCACTCCTTAAGGCCCCACACTCAGTCCCACAGATGCCCAGCCAGCCTCCTGAGCCACAGGCACGCTGACAGCCCCCAGCAGCCCCTGGGAACACAAAGAGAAAGGGCTCACTCCTGGTCGCAGCTACTGAAGAAGTCAGAGTAGTTACTTGTATTTCGCACTCCGGTCCCTGGAATTCCGGCGGTGGCCCCGGCTGTGGCTCCGGGAACGGCTGCGGTGACGCCGGTGTCTGTCTCGGGACCGGGACCGGGACGGCTTTCGCCGTTCTCGGGAGAGAGATCTTGACCGCCTCCGACGCCGGTCCCGGGAACGCGACCTGCAGGAGACCAGAGGGTCTGGAGGCTCCACCCGAACTGCCCTCCTCGCCCTGCACATGAGCTTGGTGCTTTCCTGGTTACCCCCCTCCCCTCCTAAAACTTACAGTGTGGGCTCACAACAGTCCCATCAGTTACTCTCTGGTCAGAAAGAATATGACCAGACCCATCCCACCAAAGCATCTTGCTGGGACACTCCTGGCCGCCCGAGGACCTCCGCAGCGCTAAGCCTCCCTCTCCCTGACATCACTGACTGTGGATCTTTCTGCTGGACTAAGCCCCAATCAACCCAACGACAGATGGGGCTCAAGTCTGACCTGTGCCCATGCTCCCCCACAAGCCAGCCTACCCACCAGATAATAATGTGAAGTTATAAAGGTTAAATATTAAGAAAAATGCATGTGTGCTCAGGCCAGGTAGCTCAGTTGTTTAGAGTGTCCTCCCGATGTGGGTTCAATCCTCAGTCAGGGCACAAACAAGAATCAACCAATGAATGCATAAATTAAGTGGAACAACAAATTGATGTGTTGTGTTTTTTTTTCCTTTCTCTCTCCCCCACCTTCCTCTCTAAAATAAAGAAGAAAAATGCATGTGGAAAAGATCATGTGACTGAGAACACTTAAATGGATGTTAGTTTGTTTTTAATCCTCACCTGAGAGTTTTTCATTGATGTTTAGAGAAGTGGAAGGGAGGGGGAGAGAAACAGAAACACCAATGTGAGAGAAGCACATCCTTTGGCTGCCTCCCCCACACAACCCGACTAGGACCCAGGATCCAACCAGCAACTGAGGTACATGCCCTTGACCAGAATAGAACTCAGGACCCTTCAGTCCACAGGCCAACGCTCTATCCACTGAGCAAAACTAGCTAGGGATTAATTGGATCTGAAACCTACCTCCTTCGATCTCCGGTTCTTGATCCAGACCTAAAACTAAAGGCAGAAAAAAAAAAATGAACAATTTCCCCCAAACAGCCCCATCCCACACATCTAAGGGGAGCAGTCCCAATTCTACAAGGTGACTTCCCACAGAAACCTGTTATCTTCTGCAGTGTCTCCCAAACTTTTGACATATGTGTAGTACCCCTTCTATAATTTTCATAACGCTGAATACCCCTCGTACTCATGAGAACGTAGAATTAGGCGCAGCTAAGCACGGTGCAGTGCGTACCCCCACCAAACTCTTCCCGTACCCCTGGGGGGACGCGTACCACACTTTGGGAAACACTGTTCTAGAGGTTCCCTTGTTCTCAGGCACACCAAGTGTCAATGCTTACAGAATGAGGTGCACCTCCAGCCCCCAGCTCCTAGCTGCTTTTGGCAAAGGACGGGACTGGCACCCTGAATTCAACAATTGACTCTGCTAAGTCTTTAGAGTGGACGCTAGCTCACCTAACAGACATAGGGCTGGGTAGAAGTGAAAGTCACCATGACACCAAAGTTAAAGCAGAATCTCAAATTCCAAACACAGGCTCACTGCCAGAGGAAGGTCAGATGAGGTCCTTGGGGAATAGTATACAATCAACAATCCAAAAAATAGTAATGAGATCTCATTTTACAGTGTCCACAGCAAAAGCTTACATGATTGCCACCAACATGGGCTGAGGAGGAAGTGACAGAACATGCTCTTATACTGTGTGGTTTAAGATGATTTAATAAAGCTGCTTGGAAAGCAATTTCTGTAACACCTACCAATATTTTATTAAATTCTTTTATGCCAGGAATTCTAAGGAATTTTATAAAACGCTCAAAACATATATAAAGATGATCTCTGAGTAACTGTTCAAAAATAGTTTTATAAAAACATAAAAATAGTCATAAAAATTAAAGTTGGCCCTAGATGGTTTGGCTCAGTGTAGACGCAGGGGTCCTCAAACTTTTTAAAGTGGGGGCCAGATCACGGTCCCTCAGAGAGCTGGAGGGCCGGACTATATGAACTACTAATTCCTACTGTAACACCTCGGCTGCGCTCACTGCCCAAAAAACCTGGCGGGCCGGATCAGACTCCTCTGCGGGCCGCATGTGGCCCGCGGGCCGTAGTTTGAAGACGCCTGTAGCATCAACCTGGGACACAAGGGTCCCAGGTTCGATTCTGGTCAAGGGCACATGCCCTGGGGTTTCGGGCTCGATCCCCAGTAGGGGGCATGCAGGAGGCAGCCAATCAATGATTCCTTCTCATCGCTGATGTTTCTTTCTCTCCCTCTCCCTTTCTCCCTGAGATCAATAAAAATATATTTTTAAAAATGTTTAAAAAACAAATTAAAATTGGTTGCCCTGGCCGGTGAAGCTCAGTTTGAACATCTGTCCAGTGCACCAAAAGGTCACTGGTAAGGGCACATGCCCAGGTTGTGGGTTCGGTCCCTAGTCAGAGAGCATTTAGGAGGGAACTGATCAATGCCCCCCCACCTTCTTCTCTAAAATCAATACAAACATATTTTTTTAAAAAATATCATCCCTTCCAACCCGAAAAAATAAAAATAAAAATAAAATTAAAGATGATAGGCAGCCGAAACTGGTTTGGCTCAGTGGTAGAGCGTCAGTCTGCGGACCGAAGGGTCCCGGGTTCGATTCCGGTCAAAGGCACGTACCTTGCTTGTGGGCACATCCCCGGTAGGGGGTGTGCAAGAGGCAGCTGGTCGATGTTTCTCTCTCATCGACGTTTCAAGCTCTCTATCTCTCTCCCTTTCTCTCTGTAAAAAATCAATAAAATATATTAAAAAAATAAAAAATAAAAAAATAAAAATGATAGGCAATAGCCTTGGTCAGATAACTCAGATGGTTAGAACATTGTCCCAATATGCCCACCAACATTGCAGATTTGGTCCTGGGCCAGGGCACATATAAAAATCAACCAACATGCATAAGTAAGTAGAACAATAAGTTTCTCTCTCTCTCAAATCAATAAATTTTTTTTAAAAGGATAGGCAACAAAAGCAAAAACAAGTGGAATTATATCAAACTAAAAAACCATCAACAAAACGAGAAGGCAACTACAAAATACAAGAATATATTTTTATTTTAAATATATTTTATTAGTTTTTTTACAGAGAGGAAGGGAGAGGGAGAGAGAGTTACAAACATTAATGAGAGAGAAACATCAATCAGCTGCCTCCTGAGCACCCCCTACTGGGGATGTGCCTGCAACCAAGGTACATGCCCCTGACCGGAATCGAACCCGGGACTCCTGAGCAGGTCGATGCTCGCTCTACTGAGCCAAACCGATTAGGGCTCGAGAACATATTTGTAAATTATATCAAATAAGAGTTTAATATACAAAATGTATAAAGAACTCTTAAAACTCAAAAGGAAAAACATCCAATTAAAAAACAGGCAGAGAATCTGTATAGAGATTTTTCTGAAGATATATAAATACATAAAAAGGTGCTCGATATCACTAATCACCAGAGAAATGTAAATCAAACCCACAATGAAAGATCATACCTGTTAGACTGGTAATGATCAAAAAGACATTTTGCCCTGGCCAGTGTGGCTCAGTGATAGAGCATCAGCTAGTGCAATTAAGGGTTGACAGTTCCTTTCTCAGACCTGGTCAGGGCACGTGCGGGAGGTAACCAATTGATGTCTCTTTCTCTCACATTGATGTTTCTCTCCTTCCCCATCCCTCCCTTCCACTTAAAAATAATAATAGTAATAATAATGATGGGAAAAAATATCCTTGGACCCAGCCAGTGCGGCTCAGTAGCTGCACATAGACCTATGAACCAGGAGGTCACGATTGGCTACCCAGCCAGGGCACATGCCTGGGTTTGGGCTCGTTCCCCAATAGGGGGCATTCAGGAGGCAGTAGATCAATGATTCATCATTAATGTTTCTATCTCTTTCTCCCTCTTCCTTCCTTTCTGAAATCAAAATATATTAAAAAAAAAAAAAAAAAAAAGCATGGGGCATTTTAGCCCTGGCTCGTTTGGCTCAGTGGACAGTACTGGCCTGTTGACTGAAGGGTTCCAGGTTCGATCTGGTCAAGGGCACGTGCACTGTTGTGGACTCTATCCCCAAAGGGGTGTGTGTATGTGTGTGTGTGTGTGTGTGTGTGTAGAAGGCAGCCAATCAATGGTTCTCTCTCATCATTTATGTTTTTCTCTCTCTTTCCCTCTCCCTTCCTCTCTGAAATCTTTCCCGCTCCCTTCCTCTCTGAAATCAATTAAAAAAAAATTTTTTTTAAGAAGACATTTTAAGTGTTGGCAAGGCTGTAGAGAAAAGGGAGCCCCCCCCCCCCAAAAAAAAGGAAAGGGAATCCTCATACACTGTTGGTGGGAATGCAGACTAATGCAGCCACTATGGAAACTAATATGGAAAGTCCTTAAAAATTCAAACTAGAGCCGAAACCGGTTTGGCTCAGTGGATAGAGCGTCAGCCTGCGGACTGAAAGGTCCCAGGTTCAATTCCAGTCAAGGGCATGTACCTTGGTTGCAGGCACATCCCCAGTAGGGGGTGTGCAAGAGGCAGCTGATCGATGATTCTCTCTCATCGATGTTTCTAACTCTCTATCCCTCTTCTCTTCCTCTCTGTAAAAAATCAATAAAATATATATTTTTTTAAAAATTCAAACTAGAACCACCAATGCCCCAGCAATTCCACTTCCAGGTAAAGTAGTCCCCCCTTTCCTACAGCTTCAGTTACCCATGGTCAACCTCAGTCTGAAAGCATTAAATGAAAATTTCAGAAATAAAAAATAAGTTTTAAATTGCACACCATTGAGTAGATTGATGAAATCTTGGAGCATCCCATTCCATTCTTCAAATCATCCCTTTGTCAAGCACATCCATGCCATATACATCACCTGCCTGCTAAGTCACTTAGTAGCCATCTGTGAACAAGTGGTGAAGTACCACACTGCTTGTGTTCAAGTCACCTTTATTCTACTTGATATTGGCCACAAAGAACAAGAGTAATGATGCTGGCAATTTGAATGTGCCAAAGAGAAGCCGTAAAGTATATATAGGGGGAAAAAAACCCCAGCTTATTTGAGGGCATTATGCTAAGTGAAATAGGACAATTAAGACAAATACTATATGATTTCACTTATACGTGGAGGCAGGGGATGGGGAAGTGAATGAAAAGGGTGAAGATGGGGGGAGAGAATACTGTTATGACACATCATTGTAAGGACACACCTGCTGTGGGATGAGCTCAGATATCAGCTGAGGATCCCACAGGTACCAGTGCACACAGACACAACCACACCACAGTGGTCACCTCTGTGTAAATAGGGACTTGCATGTTGTGCTTGTATATTTTTATACTGCTTGAGTTTCTTTACAATCAGAATCTGTTAGGTAATTAATGAGAAAAAATACACTAAATTCCTATTTATCCTTCCATAGTTACACACTGAGGAATTCCTTCAGGAAAACCCAGTTTCTGGGCCTTTCAACGACAATGAGCTATGCCCAAAGAGAGCAGTTACTTCTGGCTCAAGTCTCTTCCCTAAACTCCGACCAGATTCTTACACATCTCAAACTGAGTATGGCCAGAGTCGTTATACTCCCTACATCCTCCTCACGCCAACACACAGCTCCTAGTCTTTCCTACCTCCGAAGATGGCCACTTAAAGCCGGAAACCATGACTCCAGCTCCATTCCCCCTTGGCTTGCCTCACAACTGACTACCAAGAAATCTTACCAGCTCTATACCTAGGTCCTTCCCACCCTCACCTGATTCAAACTTCCACCTCCTCCTTCTGGGCTCTCCCAGCTGGCTCCTCACTATTCTCGTGCTACTGCCCCTACAACCTGCACTTACTCACAAGGCAGCTGGTCCCAATGTCCTCCACTGGCCCCATTTCACTCAAGCCAATGCCAGAGGCTAAATAGCCCCAAGGGTCCCTCTCCCACAGCTAGGTATAGCAGTGTGACACCTTTTTCTGCCTGTCCTGTTTGGTCCTGTTTGCCGAGTGCTACATCCACAAGAATCCGGATGTAGCAGGTTCCTCTCCCTCTTCTACTCTTTACCCTGGAGAGGGGGAGGGGGAGGGGGGAGGGTGGTATCTACACCTTTCCAGATAAGAATTAGGTCCCAGAGCTCTCGTGCAGCCGAAGATAGCCCAGTCCAGTGCTGCACTGCTGTGCACACACAGGTCTTTCCAGGCCAGTCAAGACCTCGCTCAACTGGACATGCTGTGAGTTTACTTTCTTTTAACTGCCTCTTAGGTACGTAGCAACCTCAAATGTTATCAGCAACACTGCAATGGAAGTAAGGGTTTCCTTACTATGTGCTACCTCGGGCTCACCTCCTGCTCAGCCGCTCCTCACGCTCCCTCTCTTCTCTCCTCCTCAAGCGATCCTGGTTTCTCTTCTCCTGTTTTTCAGCCACAGTTTTCTAAATAAATGGAAAATTGGAAAATAAGAGAAGAGAAAGCTACATAGAGTATAAATATTGTTTAATAAAGCACATTTATATGACCTCAATATTGGTAATTTAAAAATCTAAGAGAAAGTCTTAAACAAGAACATGGTCAATTTAAAAACTTCTTAAACAATGAAAAACTCATTTTAAAATGCTTTATCATCATATTTAAATTTTTTTTAACATGTTTTAATTGATTTCAGAGGAAAAGAGAGGGAGAGAGAAACATCAATGATGAGAGACATTATCGATCAGCATGCTTCTCACTGGGATCGAGCCCACAACTCAGGCATGTGCCCTGACTGTTAATCAAACTAGGTTCTCCTGGTTTATAGGCTGACACTCACCCACGGAGTCATACTGGCTGCTGGACTATCATTACATTATAAATTCAGTGACATACTGCATATCCTTCTTTTTTTAAATCCTCACCTAAGGAGTGGGGCGGTTTCCCCATTAATTTTTAGAGTGGCCCGGGGCAGGTCACAAGAGCTCCACAGCACTCCAGCCACTCTGGGCCTCTGGACAGTGCGGGAAGGCGGGAAGGCGGGAAGGCGGGAAGAGGGAAAGGCAGCGCCAGGCTGAGCAAAGGCAGTGCCAGCAGCCAGGGGGAGGAAGGCTCATTCTTGCACAAATCTTCGCGCATTGGGCCTCTAGTTGCACTATAAAATTCAAGGCACATTCTTAGGATAAGAACAAAAGTTTTCTTGAAGGATATAAATGTGAAGATCATAAGACTTCTTAGGTTTCTCAAAAAACACAATACATTAACGTACCCTCAACTGATCAAGCTTCTCTCGGATCTGAATGAACCCCAAGTGTAATTTGCCCCCAAAGTGGTCTGCAAGTCGACGGTCATTGTCATGGAGACCAAGGTAGGCTGAGCAGACTTCACAGACACGCAATTTCTGCTGCTGAAAACTGGATGCAGGCATAGAATTTCTGTATTCTTCCTGGAAAAAGAGAATGGAGTTGTGAAAATGCCACCAAATAGTCAACCACTAAAATGAAAATATTTAAAGGGACTAGAGAAGTGAGTTATAAATAAATAAGAATTTGATCCTTTCAAAGCTTCAGATATTTTTTAACCAATTTATCCTCATCATATATATAAGAAATAAACAAACAGCCCTAGCCAATTCAGTTGGTTAGAGGTCATCCCAATAGGCCAAGGTTGCAGGTTCAACCAATAAATGCATAAATAAACGGAACAACAGATCAATTTTCTCTATCTAAAAATCAATTTAAAAAAAATTTTTTTGAAAGAACCAACCGTCATGATTTTAAAACAAGGAAAATTCAAAACATCCAGACCAACAGGATGCTGCCTATTCTCAGAAAGAGTAGTGAAGGCAGGTCTCTAGGCACTGTAGGGAGTGAAGACCAGAGAAGCAAGACAGGAGAATCTTTAACAGGGTCCTTCAAAAAATAAACCAAATAAACAAGGAAAAAAACTCGAGCACCATCCACAGAATTTGTGTCCCAAGGTCTAGGAAACTATATCCCAATGTACCACCAAAAGTTAAAACAAATATATTAGACACTCTCTTCAAAGAAGAAAGTGCACAACAAAACAGAACAAAACCAATTCCCTCCTGCAGCCACTACAGTCTGAGTCCAATCACAAGAAGTAACTCACTCAGGCTCAAAATATATAAGACACGAAAGAAAATGAAACATGACATGGAAACTGCTGCCTGTGCCTAAGTTAAAATGCCCCTTCAAAATCCAGGTTTAAGATATGCATTACAATAGTCACTTATCCTTAAAGGGACGCTTGCTTGTAAGTAATCTATTAATCTGCACATTCAAAACATTTCCTAGAAAAGACAAATTAAAATAAGATACCACATCACTCTCACTAAACTGGCAAATATAAAAAAAACAGGCACTCTCATACATTACTGCCAGGAGGAGCCTGAGTTGGTATAACTAATGTGCAGTGCACGTTAGTGATCTATCTAATGGAAGGAGGACATACACATGCTATTACCAGAAACTCTCCTTCCTAATCTATGTCCTAGAACACTCTCACATGCACTAGTAGACAGGATCAAGAACACTCACTGTATAACTCTTTGTAAAGATAAGAAATCCTCAAAACCTACAAAACGGCCAATGGACAGTCGTCCTATCCTATCCTACATAATAACCAATATATGTATCCTATCCTATATAATAAAAGGCTAATATGCACATTGACTGAACATCGGAACAACTGGTCACTATGACACACACTGACCACCAGGAGGCAAGTGCAAAGCACAGGAGCTGCCCCCTGGTGGTCAGTATGTTCCCATAAGGGAGCTCCACTCACTGGCAGTGATGGGGGTCAGACATCCCCCAAGGGCCCCCGGACTGCACAGGCCGGGCTGAGGGACCCTCCTGAATGCACATATTTTGTGCACAGGACATAAAATGGAATCCTACAGCAATAAGCTAAAAGAACAGATCTGTAGGCAGCAACATGGAGAGATCTCACAAACAATGCTGAGTAAAAGATGCAAGTGAATAAAAAATATAGATAGTGTGAACAGAATTTATGTAAGACTTTAAAAATTTAATATATTTTTATTATCTTCAGAGAGGAAGGGAGGAGAGGGAGATGGAAACATAAATGAAGTTCTGTATCCTGATTGTTATTAATGTCAGTGTCTTTTCTGTGATGTTGTGCTAGAGTTTTACATCGGGGGATATGGGTAAAGGGTAACAGGACTCTGTATTCTCTCCACACTCCACACTGGGAATTGAGCCCGCAACCTGGGCATTGTGCACTGACCTGGAATCAACCATGACCTCCTGGTTCACAAGTCCACAGTCAGCCACTGAGCCACACCAGTGGGACATGTAGGACATTTTTTAATGCACAAAGTACATCCCCCTCACACACATGCATAGTGTTTGTGGGTATACATGTGTAATAAAGTATAAAGACAGAATTGAAGATTATGTTACATGTACAATAATGCCGGCCTCTGGCATTCCTCAGTTTCCCCTTTCTCTAAGACATTTTTCTCACCAACCTCAGCTTCTTTTTTCTTTGCACGGACTTTCTCCACTTCCATAAGAATTTTCTGGGATTCATCCACATTTCCTTCTGCTCCCAGCTGCTCAGCTTTAGCAAGAAGTTTTCCTATTTCTTCATTCAACTCATGTACTTTTTCTGCCTGAGGAGAGAGAGAAACAATCAAGCAAGAAGCATCCAAATAGCGAACGATTCTTAATACAAAGAAAATGAGTGTGTTTCTTGCTGAATTTCTCTGTTCCACTGAAAATAAACAGAACAGTTATAGATCCTTGGTGGCTCACATAAATTGTGACAATTACAACATCCTTATTGCCAACACTGAGACTCTGACCATAAACTAAACCTGTACACTATGTTTCAATTAAAAGCACCAACATCTCTGTCATTTCCAATTTGGCTGCAAGGATCAATATTGGTCATTTTCTAGGCTGTGTCTTTTTATGTCTCCTTCACAGTTCGATATTTTAGGGTAAGAGTAATAAAATGTCAAGGTTTAAATATATGAAACTTATACTATAAGCAAGATGCCTAATTATTTTTATTTACTTTCAGAAATAAACAGCACTTTTGGTCCAGTTAGCAACTGCATATATTCTAAGAAATGCTTTTACAAAACGGAAGGAAAAAACAATGAGCAGTTTTAGTTCCACTGCACAGGGAGTACAGAAGAGTAATGCAGCTGACACCCACCCAGGCCAATTATATACAGATCTTCCTTCATTCCGTGACATGGATGTACTACAGTTCAAACATTTCCCCACTTCCCATTTCCTGTGTATGTGGGATACTAAAAGCACACTTTAAAAAGTATGTATGAACCAGAGACGGGCGGACCTGCATCACCACCATTTGTCCACCAACCAGATCTGAAATAGCATGGCTGGCATGTACACATAAGGAACTATCTGGCATTGAAATTGGGACTCAAAAGAACTGTTGGCCCAGAAAGGAACTCACTACAGACTGATTCATTTGCCTCTCAGCATAACCATTAGGGCTTGTTGCAGTTTAGGTTCTTACAAGGGTATTTCTTGGATCAAATGATCTCAGACATCTAGAGGAAATGATGAACAACATAAACAGACCTAGAGAAAGAGAACTAGCGATGAGACTCTCAAACCTCAAAGGGAAAGTAAGGGAGGATGGGGGTAAGGGGAAGAGATCAACCAAAGGACTTGTGTGCATACATATGGGTCTAGTCAGTGGCCATGGACAACGGGGATTTGGGGGGGGTGGGGGGAGGAGAGACGCATATCTAGGGAGGGGTTTGGGATGAGAATGGGGGAATAAGGACAATTATGTGAGACCATAATCAACAATAATAAAAAAAATAGATAAATAAAAATTTTAAAAAAGTATGTATGGTGGGAGCAAGGATAGCAGCAGTAGCTCCTGGTAAGCTGAGAGCTCATGGACAGCCATTCTTCTTACTGGAAACACTCAAGGCAGTGTAGTGTCCACCCCAAAGATGCACTACCAGTGCAGATGGTGAGCTGTAAGTCCATCAGCAGCCAGCCCAGTTCTTACCAGTGATCTGTACCAGTAAATCGAGGCAAAAACCTCGCAAGCGTACCTTCGCAGAAACCTCTGCACTGATCTCCTCCTGTGTCTCTGCCAGCCGCTTCTTGGCAAGTTCAGTTCTCCGATCACACTCAGCGATAAAGGACTCCAAGTGATCCATCGCCTGGCTCAGGAGAAGCAGAGAGCTGGGATCAATTACATGTATGATCTAAGAACCCATTTGTTCGACAGGAAAATACTCCTGGGCTGATTTCTTAAAGCCTGTAGGTTCAGTGGGAAGATTTGAAACTACACTCCAGCCAACACATCCATAGTCATATTAAATCAAGGGGCTTTGTTAAACCAAATAAGCATTCAGGAGCATAGTCTTCTCATCTGATTTATTGATTTCCAAATTTCGTAATAGGTACCCCATCCCTCAATAACATTTCCAAGAAAATACTAAGGAAAATTACAACACTTGGCCATAATGAATAGTTTTCTCTGAGGGACAGAAAAGGCTGGATCGAGACTGGTGGTAAGAGCCCTCCTCTGGTGAGCTGTGGGAAATGCAGATGATGTACTCACTGGTCTTTGTGAGCCACGCAAATATTACCCCTCATGTTCTGAGGGTAGAGCTCCCCCTTCCACCTCAAAACAAAACAATAGAACAAATATTACTGAGAGCTGTGAATACGTTTAGTTATTGCCTACTGTCTAAAGTACCAGGAAAACTGGTATACTACTTACCCAGAGTGATAAAGGAAAAGAAACTCTAGAAATCTAAGTCTTACTCTGGAGAGAGTTGATAGGGAACAATAAAATACTAATTAACGGGTTATCACATACTAGTATACTAAACAGTTAAATTGCCATACTAGTCAAAGGCCCAACATAGCTTTATATACATACAAATAGGAAATCACTTGTCCAACTTCCAGGCTACCACCAGTAATAAGCAGCATCTCCTAAGTTATACCCATGAGCCAGTCTGCTAATGTCATTATCACCTTGGAAGCAAGGGAGGATAGCCATGGATAACAGGGTCAGACAGTATGATCTAGCATTAAAAAAAAAAAAAAAAAAAAAGGGAAAAGAAATTTTGGGTGGTAACGATAACAAGACAGATAAAAGTTAGGCCAACAGACCAAGTGATGATAATCCATATCCCTCTCCCAAAGATGGCCGGGAGAGAGCAGGTGAGCTATTAAGGAAGTACTCCACAAGGATCTGTTGACACTGGAATAACATTTCACTATGTTCAAATCAAGCAATCAGGAATGCAAATAATTGGCATTTGTTTGCCTGGATGCACTGTATTTCCTGGAAAAATATAGAGTAAGTAAGTTGTGCTGACAAATTTGAACTCACCAGGATCAAAGTTCCAATGAGCTGATATGTGTTTCATACCATCTGTGCTCACCTAGGACAACGGTGCCTAAGAAAATAGCCTGAGGCCTCAGTTCACCCTCACACAGGCACTGAGACTGTGCGGAGCCCCTCTGTCTACACAAATACAGCCATTTCACACCTAGGGCAGATCCAGGGACCCACTCCTCAGGGGCCAATAGAAAACAGACATCTGACGACACTGCCAGTGTCTTTACCAATCAGAGAAACCACTTGTATCTCAAGCAGAATCTCAACTGGCGGGGTAAAAAATCAGAATCAGATTTCTGATCAGTTATAAACTAAACAGTAAAGTTCACAAAACAGAATAGGCAGACCACAGAGAGGTATTTTAACTGCCAGGTTTTCTTCTTATTATTTTTTAAATTCTCACTTTAAAAAAAAACCCTCACCTGAAGATGTTTCTGACTGATTTTGGAGAGGGAGGTGGGAGAGGGAGAGAGAAACATCAATGTGAGAAACATCATTTAGTTGCCTCCTGTACAGGCCTCCAAAAGAGATCGAACCCATAACCTAGATCTGTGCCCTGACCAGGCGACACTCCAACTCAGTGAGCCACCCGGCCAGGGCTAACTGCCAGATTCTACTGCCCCTCCCTCTCCTTCAGTGTGCTTCTCAATTTCAGAGTGGTTCCTAAACCAAAGAGCAGGTCTAAATGATTTTTTTAATGTTGCATTTCTTGAAATACTTGATTATTCTCCACATAATAGTAATTGCTATAATGGATTAAAAAATTCTATTACAGACATCTCAGCAGAAAATTGAAAGATGAATATTTAAATTAATCCACTTTCTTCTATACTAAAAAACTAAAAAGGCCGTGAAAAATAGATCTAATTCTCAATACCAATGAAAATTTTTTAAAAAATTTAAAAACTATTAAAAAACGTTACTGAAATATATTTGAGGTTTTATAGTTCATCAAAGTGCAGTTTTAAATATTGATTTTATTGTACAAAAATTGCTCTTTTAAAAAGCCGTTTAAAATGAGGCACCCTTGCTAGATGCTGTGGCTCAACAGCTGAGACCCATGCCCGAGGGACTGCTGGTCTGAGTCTGAGCCGGGGTACAAGCCTGGATTGCAGGCTCATCCCCAGCACCAGGTGTACAAGCGGCAGCCAGTCGATGTTGCTCTCTCATCAATGTTTCTCTTTCCCCTCTCCTCTAAAATTAATAAAATTTTTTTTTTTTTTTTTTTTAAATAGAGGTACCGCTGAAACCGGTTTGGCTCAGTGGATAGAGCTTCGGCCTGCAGACTGGAAGGTCCCAGGCTAGATTTGGGTCAAAGGCATGTACCTTGGTTGCGGGCACATCCCCAGTGGGGGGTGTGCAAGCAGGAGCTGATCAATGATTTTCTCTCATCAATGTTTCTAACTCTCTATCCCTCTCTCTTTCTCTCTATAAAAAAAATCAATAAAATATATTTTTAAAAAAATAGAGGTATCCTTTCCAGGGTCATTGTATTATGACCATTTATTGCGGTATCCTTTTATGTATTTCAGTAAATTTTTTTTTAAAGGTATTTGCGTCTAAAAATTAAGTCCTAATCACAACCTACCACTTACTACTAGAAAGTCATCCAACTTCTCATAACTGGAGAGTGATGAGATGAAACATGAACTACTAAGGGTGCTTGAGCACAGCGCGGCATTGGCACCAGGTCTCACTGCCGCTGCAGGAGGCTGTCCCTGCACACACAGGACTGCCTGTGACTGTGCTGATTCTGACTCTGCCAGGCCAGCAGCAGTGACACCAGCCAGCAATCCATGAGCCTGAGACAAAACAATGTTGTCAGAATGTTCACAGTAAACATGTGCCCCTGGACAGTGTTGCCTGTGCCACGCATGACTCAAAATAGCTGTACAGGGACTCTTAAGATTGCCATTTCTCACATGAAGAAGTTGAGGTATAGGTTTCAAACTACTAAGTGATAGTATCAGGATGCAAGGACCACTGTGGCTTAGCTCCCTACACCTTAATCCTCACAAGTCTGAGATAGTTATCACCAGCCCAGCTTCTAGATGAGTAGAAAAAGGTGAAATAACTTGCCTAAGGTGACACAGGGATTCTAATCCAAGAGATCTGACTTATAAAACTATTAAAAAATGTATATATATGTATGTGTGTATATATACATATACACACATACACATACACACACACACAAACATATATATATGTTTGTGCAGTATATGCATAGTATTATTTATATATATATAAATAACTACATATAAATAAATAATACTGTGCATATATAAGACTGAAAAACTAAGTACAATTAGAACTGGTCACATTTGGTATATTAAAACAGTTTGGAAATTAGTTAACATGGTGTGTTGTTCTAGAAACCTGTCAAATAAAACATCAAAGAAAAAGATAATTTAAAGAAAAGATCAACTGTATTTACACTAAATTAAAGAAAAATAAATTATTTACATTTTCAACATACGGATACTTGAGAAATGTACTGCTCTGTAACTTCTCCATAGGTTAAACTAACGAGTTAACATTGTTTATTTGCCAGTGTTCACGTTGAGAAACTTGAAATTCATTTACATAAAGTACCTCATAGCAAATATTACATGTCCTTTCCTAGAAAATTCCTGGACAAAACACTCAAGAAAGCAAGGTCTGCTCCTAACATGATCAGGCTGAGACTGCATTAGGCTGGAAGGAGCTAATGGGAGGCACCTTCTCCCACATAAAACACCTGAGTTTTGGGCGGCTCCTGAGTGGAAAGGTGCCAGAAGTCCTGTCCATCACGCTCAAACTGAGGATACAGGCAGGGCATACCTACACAAAGAAGTATCTTGATGACAACTCCATCAGGCCCACAAAGAAATACATTTTTACACCTTTTGGGTCTCTCACTGACAAAGTCCCAGAGTCTGACAACTCACTGTCAGTGAAGATGTGAAAACTGGAACTCTCACACACCATGGTGAAAGCGTTCTCACCATGGCATTATCCATTTAAGAGTTTGGTATATACCTTTTTAAATTGTGTTAAACTATAAATTGGTAGTTACAAAATAATCACAGAAATGTAAAATCCAGCATAGGGAATATAGTCAATAGTACTGTAATAACTATGCACAATGCCAGGTGGGTATGTTAAATATTGGGGGACCACTTTGTAAAGTATATTATTGTCTAATTGCTATGCTGTACACCTGACATACAAAATAATATTGAATGTAAACTGTAATTGAAAAATAAAATTTTAAAAAGTATATGAAAACACATTTTTATTCCAACTAAACAGGTTTTGCAAGTTTCCTTATCTTTTTCACATCAATGTACACATCCAAGATCTACAGCTGTGTAGTATTTTCACTACATTTTAACACAACTATAATAACCCCTCTAATAAATACAAAGTTTGGATTTTTCAATTTTATTCCTTCAAAATGATAGCAATAAACATCTTATATCTTCTCATATATAGGCAAATACTCTTTTAGGACAATTTCTTACAAATTGCTTAGAAGTGATTCAAAGTCCGTAGTATTTTAAATTTATTAAAAGGGCTGACTAGTTCTTATTTTAAGAGAATTTTCCTTTAAACCATTGCATCATGAATTAATAAATCAACTATGAACTTCAGTTTTAAAGAGTTCTTTTATAAAATAAACAAGACATGGGTATCTTAATATCATCTAGATTGCAAAACTTCCATTTTGACCTGATGTCAACAACCTATTTTGAAAAAACACCCCTTGCCTAGTAAAAATGATGTAGCCCAGCTGATGTTGCTCAGTGGTTGAGTTTCAAC